AATTTTTATTTATTTATTATTATTTTTTTATCATAAATATATAAAAATAAGAATTTTTATGGCTTTTTATTATGCAAGTTTCATAATTTTATTTACTAAATAATTTTAAAAAATAAACAGAATAATTTTATAAAAATATTATACTTTTAACGTATAAAAAAATATATAACACTACATTGATTTTCTATTGTATAAATAGCGTAAACACAGTTAAACTTTAATTCACAAAAATAAAAAAAAATGTTGAGGTAATAAATTTATTATATTTGGAATGTAGCTTAACGAATATTTTCTAAATTCTGAAGAAAAAATAACGTAAAGAAAGAGAAAACAATTTATATAAAAGAATGTTAGTTCTTCCACTTTTCTCTTCAAATTGCCTGATGCACCATCCGAAATCACCTCTTCTACTGATGCGAAACAATGATTTTGAGCCAGAAATATAGACTTACCTGCTTACATTTTTAATATAAAATAATTTATTTAAAGTTAGATTTGTTTCTATATTAGTAAGGACGGTTAGAATTGAGTTTCCAAGAATAAAAAAAAAAAAGAAGAAGAAGAAGAAAATGGAGCGTTACATACCACTTTATTAAAATTTAAAATGGAATTTGAATAGAAATTTTCTTTTATAATCTTGTTTGGAATGCAAAGAACTAGATAGATGTATGCTAATCCTATGTGAAAACAAACATTGTTTAACCTAACATTCAATAAATCTTTTCAGATCCTCCAGCGGTAGTGATCGAACCTGAAAAAGGTATTATAGTCAACGAAACAACGGAGGCTGTCTTTACTTGTTCGTACGAAGCGAATCCTGAAACAATTCTCGATATCGATTGGTATAAAGATGGAAAAGAACTTCCTCTATCGGACTCGACTAAATATTCAACTAGTAACACGACTATGCCAACTCTAACGATACTCTCTGTTGATAGAAATGATAGAGGAATATACACTTGCTCTTTAACTAATTCCATTGGCAGAGGAAATTCGTCAAATTCGGTCAAACTTACTGTTTTATGTAAGCGTATAATTTAGAATAAGTATAATAATATTTTCATAATTAAATTCAATAGATATAAAAAGTTATCTCGTTCGCTATTTCTTCAAAAAATAAGTAAATAAAATTTTAAAAAATTGCTAAAATTAAAATTAATTTCAGAAATCTTTCGAAATATGTATTGTATTGTATTTGGACCCGTATTTTTGTATAATTATTAATCTTTAGTATAAATTTTTATGAATTTTTAAATTAAAGTTTCATTTTTTGAAGAAGTGTAGAAATTAGACTCATATTTGAAATATTAGTAAATAATAATAATCTTGATGATTTTTAGACAATTTTTTAAATATTTTTTTACAATTAAAATCTTATTTTGATTTATTTTATTTTACTTTTGAAGGTCAGTCAGATGACCGCGCTGTAAGATAGTCGACCATCGTGAAAGATCTAGGTTCGAAATCGATTCTGACCCTATAATTAATCATGGGCAATACCAGTAGGGGTATCGTTCCCATCTTTTACCATGCTGGTCAAACCCATTGTGGTCCAGACCTCGTAATTTATCATGGGTAGTAAGGGACGAAGCATCATTTTCCATCTCTTGCCCACATCAATTTTATTATGGTTATGCCCTCGAACAATGGGCATAATTATGACTATTCATGTGCTGATACCTCGTGTTAATGAATCATGTTTTTTAAAAGAATTATTACAATTAATTTCATTAATTATTTTAAATTCTAAAGGGGAAACATTTCTAAACCGTTTACTGTACTGTACAGTTACTTAATTCAGGAAAATATTTATATAGCCTATTATCTAAACATTTTATATATATTATATTTTTCTTTTTTATAGTTTAAATTTTCAAGTATAATTTTCAGATCCTCCAGAAGTGGAAGTAGTAATATCACCATCAGTAATAAATGAAAGAGATAGCGCAAAAGTTTCATTATTTTGCGAGATTATTGGTGGAAATCCTCAAAATTTATTAAGAATTCGTTGGTATAAAAACGATGAATTTTTAAATGAAGTAACCGATAAAAAGATATCATGGATGGAAATTACAAGAAATTTTTCTGGAAATTATTCTTGTGAAGCTGAAAATGCTGCTGGATGGGGTAACAGATCCGAAAATGAAGAATTGATTGTTCATTGTAAGTTTCCTCCATTTAAATTATTGAATTTTTATTTTTAAGATAAATTTATATATAAATAAAGAAAAATAAATTACACACTTTAACAAACGTTAAATGCTAAATATCACTTTAAATTATTCAAGATTAACTGCGTATAATATAGGATAATGATATCGATTATGGTGGAATTTTTTCTAATTTTTTTTTCATGATTTGTTACACGTTAAACATTTGTTAATTAGATTATCTACTAATAAAAAAGCTAGAAATAAGAATTTAGAAAGCATAATTAACATCAGAGAATTTATTTCACAAAATAAAAATACATAAACAATTAATAGGTACTTAAACATATTAGAATAAGTAAATTAGTTTTTCCTGTTCTCTCAATAATAAAAAATAAGATATATATAATTGTACAGTACATAAAAATAAAATAATTACAACTTATTATTATTATTTTTTGTATATTATCTATTCATTAATTAAATAAATGTTAATAATGAAAGTTAATTTAATATAATTTTCGCATCTTGTAACTTAAAATTAAGCAGGACATTTATACAGATCATTACATTTTATTGTGATAATTGTGCTTTCAAGCGAATATTTCAAGATGCAAAAGATTATTCTCTATACATTAATGTGTTATTTCATTGTGACGATAACATCTTTTGTGTTATTTTGAAATCAAAAACAACGCTTCAAACTTTTACAGGATCACTGAACCGCTCTGTCTTCTACAATCTTTAAACTAAATGTTTGACAATATAAAGTATTATTAAAGCCATTTTATAATCATTCCTAACTACTTTATTGGTCNAAAAAATAATTAATAAATATTGATAATGATGATAATTTACTATTACACAATATATTCCTCATTGAATTCTTCATCTATAGCAAATATTCACGCCATATTATAAAGCCAAAGTTACTTACATTCAGCTAGAATAATGTAACAACTTATTGTTTCAGTTGGAAACTTCCTAAACTGATAATTTTCTCAATGGATGATTTGTTGTAACGAGTCATTCTCCGTGATAAATTAACATAGTTACGAAGCAAATTACTTATTCCCATTACTTTAGAATATATACAATCGTCGATAAAGGTGGCATTTGATAGAGAACAATGTTAGTGTTGATGACTGTTTTTTCCCCCCTCATTTTTCTCAGGTATTTGATTAACTTTTACCTTTCTGAATCCATTGGTAGATTCATCGTTTCACATTTACAACAATTTATAATAAAGCAATTTCCGAGAATCTGTTTAATTTACTATGAAGAAATTCTTATATACAATGTTTGTAGTTGATATATAGAATTAATGTGCTTTTGTTCCGAGGGAAATTTTTGACTTTTCGACATCTGTAATATTATTTTTTCCCTCCCTACTCTTGTTTGTCTACTTTAAACGAAAATCTATAAAGTTTTGCAAAGTATATCTTTCTACCATTATCATGACTCAGTCATAACTTTAAAAAAAAGTAAAATAATTTAGGTTTATACAATAATAAAAAATAAGATATATATAATTGTACAGTACATAAAAATAAAATAATTACAACTTATTATTATTATTTTTTGTATATTATCTATTCATTAATTAAATAAATGTTAATAATGAAAGTTAATTTAATATAATTTTCGCATCTTGTAACTTAAAATTAAGCAGGACATTTATACAGATCATTACATTTTATTGTGATAATTGTGCTTTCAAGCGAATATTTCAAGATGCAAAAGATTATTCTCTATACATTAATGTGTTATTTCATTGTGACGATAACATCTTTTGTGTTATTTTGAAATCAAAAACAACGCTTCAAACTTTTACAGGATCACTGAACCGCTCTGTCTTCTACAATCTTTAAACTAAATGTTTGACAATATAAAGTATTATTAAAGCCATTTTATAATCATTCCTAACTACTTTATTGGTCGTTATCATGTTTTATGACGTCATTCAGTTTCCATTGACGTCACACAGTCAACTTCATAGTTTATTCTCTTGATATTGATGTTACACGACCTTAAATTGGTGATGTAGTATTTTTCTATTTCTATTATTTTTGTCATTTTAATATTAAAATTAATAAAAGTTATGCAAAATATTAAATAAAATAATAATAATGATAATTGATTACAAAAGAAGAACAAAGTATTGATAATTTTCAATATATTTTTAATTTAATTTTTTTATTATTATCGAGAATTTTCAATTAAATATGCTTCTTTCTTAAGCATTTTATCATTCAGTAATTATATAATAAATATAAGTTAACGTTTGAATAAAATAATGATCGTAACTACGGAATCAAGGTCCATTCCATTTACAAAGGATGTCTTAATAAAGAAACTCATTTTAATAGCGATTATAAGGAGAAAATTTCAGTTAAAATGAGTTTTTTCCTGTAGTAAATTTGCTAAAAATTAATTTATTATTAAATTTTAAAAATAATTTACCAAATAATTTAAATTTGGTCTTATTACAATTATCACAATTTCTCTGTAAAATATTTAAAAATTTTAAATGACAATAATAATAATAAATGCTTGTTTCCTTTGATTTACTCCATTTAATGGCCATTTTTACAGTAAAAAAGTAAAAATAAAATTATAAATTTTAGTTTTTATTTATTATATATTTGTTGAGTAATAGCAACTATGAACAAGAATTGCTTCTAGTAATCAAGTTTAGATTGTTTTATACGTTACTAATTACATTTATTGATGTTTTTGTTATATAAATGTCGTTTCACTTGTTGAAAAAATAATTAAATTTATCCCAAGATCGATATTTTATATATATATATATACATATATTATCTCCAAATTAACGCTCCTAACATCTGCAANTGATTTAAATATTCTTATATATTATCTCCAAATTAACGCTCCTAACATCTGCAAGCCTTTCACTTTTGATTATTATATTAATTTTCATATATTTTCACGTTTAAACTTCTTTATAATCTTCCCAACACTTCAAAAAAATAATTAATAAATATTGATAATGATGATAATTTACTATTACACAATATATTCCTCATTGAATTCTTCATCTATAGCAAATATTCACGCCATATTATAAAGCCAAAGTTACTTACATTCAGCTAGAATAATGTAACAACTTATTGTTTCAGTTGGAAACTTCCTAAACTGATAATTTTCTCAATGGATGATTTGTTGTAACGAGTCATTCTCCGTGATAAATTAACATAGTTACGAAGCAAATTACTTATTCCCATTACTTTAGAATATATACAATCGTCGATAAAGGTGGCATTTGATAGAGAACAATGTTAGTGTTGATGACTGTTTTTTCCCCCCTCATTTTTCTCAGGTATTTGATTAACTTTTACCTTTCTGAATCCATTGGTAGATTCATCGTTTCACATTTACAACAATTTATAATAAAGCAATTTCCGAGAATCTGTTTAATTTACTATGAAGAAATTCTTATATACAATGTTTGTAGTTGATATATAGAATTAATGTGCTTTTGTTCCGAGGGAAATTTTTGACTTTTCGACATCTGTAATATTATTTTTTCCCTCCCTACTCTTGTTTGTCTACTTTAAACGAAAATCTATAAAGTTTTGCAAAGTATATCTTTCTACCATTATCATGACTCAGTCATAACTTTAAAAAAAAGTAAAATAAATTGTAGTAAACTTTCTATTTAACTAAATTAACTTAAATTATATTATTTCATAATATAAATGAAAATAAATCATTTTGGTTTAATATATTCATTTCAAATTTTATCTTGAAATGCTTAATTCTTGTCCACTTCCACTCAAATTATCATATTTTAAATGATAATATATGCAAAAAAACCTTATTTGTGATTAAAAAATAATTTTATATGATAAATATAATATATTTTAAATTAAATTTTATATTTTTATAGAAAAAAGTGCATAAATGTGATCTGTAGATGCATTCATCTATAGAAAAATCAACAGATAAACAACTTTTAAAAAGATAAAAACAATAATAATAAATGATATATTTGTAATATAACATATATAAAAATTAAATATACCATATTTTACAGCTAACTCAAACTATACCTTATCTTTATCTTGAGTTTTACTTCGAATAAAACCTGATAGACCCTTACATTCCTCCAGATTAATGCCCTTAGCCTGATAGTAACCTGAGTTATTATCACGTTTAGGAACATAAATCTATGTAATTTGGTCAGAATTTCTTTTACAATCCGTTTATTTATTTCCATCAAGTTAACATCTTCAATAACTTTTTCTTATCAGAAAAATTCAATAAAAGTTTACCTACAATCTAACAAAAAATATATATACAGTATATTCAAAAATTTTATTCAGACATACAGTCGAACCTTTAATAATGACCACCTCTGAACAGCGGCCACTTATGTTCCGTCAATGGACGTTGTTCAAGGGTTTGACTGTATTTTATTAAGTCAGAATACGGAATCTTTAAGTTGAATAGTCAAGTCATTATTATTTTGCAGTAAGGGAATCCAACCAGTAGCTCGAGATCTACTAAAGTGACATCGACTAAAACTAAGAGTTTTGTAACTTGATTTATAAAATTTTTGAGAAAATAAGAAAATTTTATTGCTTAATTTTAATTGTTTAATTTAAAAAATGTATTATTTATTTAAATTTTATTTTTAAAATATAAGAAAAAAATAGGATACGAATAATTACTATCTTCAGCTTCATTTTTCTAAAAAACCAATGAAGGATTAGTAAATTTCATTCGTATTTTCTAAAAACCAGACATGATCGATAACTTAATTAAATTAAATCCATTTTCTAGTGAATGCATCAGAAGATTCATTCTATTTTCCAGCATCTTCCATACACAAAAAATATTTTAATCCATATTTAATGGTATATTTTATGCTTTTATATTTAGAAAACAAATTAAATTAAAGAAAATATAATTAAGATAATTTAAAACTGACATTTTTATTTTGAAGATCTTCCTGGAGAAGCCGATATTATAGAAGAAGGGGAACCAACAAAGAGGGGTGAATCTGTAAATTTAACTTGTGAAGTCGAAGAATTGGGTCTACCAGAAGCTGAATCGTATTATTGGGAATTAGATGGAGAAGTTTTAGATACAAATAATAAAACTTTAATAATTGATGATGCAGATTTACATCACGAAGGAAATTATAGCTGTTCAGCAGTCAATGATGTTGGTTCTGGTGAGAAAGGTTACCACTTTCTAGACATTAAAGGTAATTATCAAATGGAATTTTTATTACTCTTCTTTATTATCTACACCAATTAAATAAATAGGTATTTTAAACTCTTTTCCTTTGAAAAAATAAAGAAAAATAAATTACACACTTTAACAAACGTTAAATGCTAAATATCACTTTAAATTATTCAAGATTAACTGCGTATAATATAGGATAATGATATCGATTATGGTGGAATTTTTTCTAATTTTTTTTTCATGATTTGTTACACGTTAAACATTTGTTAATTAGATTATCTACTAATAAAAAAGCTAGAAATAAGAATTTAGAAAGCATAATTAACATCAGAGAATTTATTTCACAAAATAAAAATACATAAACAATTAATAGGTACTTAAACATATTAGAATAAGTAAATTAGTTTTTCCTGTTCTCTCAATAATAAAAAATAAGATATATATAATTGTACAGTACATAAAAATAAAATAATTACAACTTATTATTATTATTTTTTGTATATTATCTATTCATTAATTAAATAAATGTTAATAATGAAAGTTAATTTAATATAATTTTCGCATCTTGTAACTTAAAATTAAGCAGGACATTTATACAGATCATTACATTTTATTGTGATAATTGTGCTTTCAAGCGAATATTTCAAGATGCAAAAGATTATTCTCTATACATTAATGTGTTATTTCATTGTGACGATAACATCTTTTGTGTTATTTTGAAATCAAAAACAACGCTTCAAACTTTTACAGGATCANAAAACAATAAAAAATTATACTTCAGATGTTAATTTAGTATCAAAAAAGTAAAATATTTGAGTAGCCCAAGACATAGCCAAAGATTGAAGCTCCACAGCACTGGCAAAATTTAAATTTGCCGACTGGAAATCTTTCGGATGATTGACGTTTCGGATGATTGACTTTCGGAAAATCGACGCTCTACTTGTACTGAAAAAATAAATATTTTATTTTATATAAGTAATATAAGCAAACTTTTCTCTAATACCATAAGCATATCAGTATAACGAATACAATTTATCATCATGAATATCAGAAAAAATTAATTTTATCATCATACAATGATGACGAAACAGTACTTAATTCTGTGTTTTTTAATTGTAATTTTATATTTGCTCTATATAATAATATTTTTATATTATTTGTATATATATACTGTATATAATACATAATAATATATGTATAATTATAATGTAGTTTCAACAATATAAAATATTATTTCTTCATCATAAAAATGGCAAGAAAAGTTCATAAAATTATGTTTTTTGGTATAGTTTTATGAAGATATCTTCATAAAACTATTTGCATAAGAATTACAATATGCAGTCGAAAAATGTATTTAAAATTGAATCATAAAATAATAACAAAAAACAATGTATAATTTTTTACAATTTTTTTTCCTTATAATTTTATGATAAAAATTAAATTACTTCGTAACGCATTGGTCTTTTTTAATTATTCGAAACTTTTTCATTTTAATGGTTATTAAAGTTAAGTGATATTAAAAATTATACACGAATTAACTTTTATAATTAATTAGATTGCGATGATGATTTTTGTGTAACGTAATTGTGCTTTTAAATAATTAAATAAAAATTACCAAATTGACTATGATGATAAATTACTGTCACGTCATTCGATCACACTTTTAATTCTCTTAAGAAAATTAAGATAAAAATTCTTTTATTTATAAATTAAAAAAGAGGATATTTTTATTGCTTGTTTTTTTCCCTTTACAGTTCCTCCCAAGTTTATAATTAAATTACCTAAATTGCACGGTGCATCTCGTGATGCTTCATTTTATAATGTTACTTGTCGTGTCGAGTGTGATCCTATCTGCGAAATTGAATGGTTAAAAAACGGCGAGAGCATTATGGATTCTAATTATTATATTATAACTAAAGAAAATTTACCAGAAGAAGAGGAAAATGATTATTTCAGCTCTGTAATAAGTGTCTTGAGATGGAATATGACGGCATGGCCTGGAGGTAAACTTGAAAGAGAACGTGATTCTGCTAACTACACGTGCAGAAGCACCGATAACGAAGTGGGCCCAGAAGTCGAAAGTACTATGCAATTTAGTGTTGAATGTAAGTTATTGAATTAATCATTTGTTCTATAACTTAATTACATAGTTATTTTACATAATATGTTTATCTAGATGCTCCAGAAAACGTTGAAATCTCGCAAAATTTAATTACTCTTGAAGAAGGTGACGAATTCGAACCTATTAATTGCTCCGCATCGTCATGGCCTCTCAGTACTTATCGTTGGAAATTTGGAAATTTCATTGTAAACGATGGTTCAACTTTAGATTTAAACGAAGTTACACGAAAGGATGCTGGCATCTATACTTGCGAAGCGAGAAATAGCAGAGGGAAAGCCGAAGCGGAAATGATTTTAGAAATTAGATGTAAGTAATTATCTCAAAATAAAATTGACAAGATGATGATGATGATGAGAATGATGGATTCTTCTAAAATTATATCTAGACATACCAAATTGTGATATCGTAAGGGATGATGATGACGACGAAACTATTTTAAAATGCGAAAGTGATGCTTATTCCGAAGTAAAATATTATTGGACTAAAGATAACAATACTTTAGATGATGATATAGATATTGATGATGATAACAGCACCATCAGATTTAAAAGATATGAAGAAGAATTTTATGGTGAATACGAATGCATCGTGGAAAATAATATGGGAGAATCCGAACCATGTGCTGAAATTGTTACGAAACCGGAAGGTAAATAAATAAAATTCGTATTAAATTTATACATTTAATTAAAAATTGTTTTAAGAGCTTTTTTTTAAATTAATATTTATAAAAAGATTGGCTAAGTTTTTTTCGGTTATTTATTTTTAATATAATCGAAATACATGAATTAATCATGAAGACTTGATTATGGAATTCGAATAATGTTGAAAATTTAAATACAGAATATTTATTGTTAATAATAAGAAAATAAAAAACCAAGGAACAAGTTGATCGTTTACTTTAAAAATAAAAGTCTGCAAAGATACTTAAAGTAATGGGTTGTATAATTTAAAAATCGAATGAACATCTGTCGTGTCTCTTTGATATCAACTTTTTTTTCTTTTTTGAAAGATATTTTTGATAAATCTCTAGTCAAATCAGATAGATATGGTTATATTTAATGTATAAATGTATTTTGCATTTGTAAATTTGAAATTTGTATTAATGTCCAGAAAAAATTTTGATTTTTTTCTTCATTTTTTGGGAGAAAAATAAAATTATATTTCAGAAACTTCAAAACACGATATTTAACTAAGCATTTAAAAAAATGCATTGATATTAAGATAAATACATGTTACTTTCTCTGAATATCAATACTTTTAACAGTATTTTAAGTAAAGTAGTTTTTAAACATAATATTAGGCTAAATTCTGTTATATTATATTACATACTATAAGTCTATAATTTAACATATCGTTATTTTATACAAATATAAATTAAAGTGAAAAATTTCAATAAATTGCATAAATTTATTGAAATTTTTATTATTTAAAATATCGAAACCGCTTCGTAATTTATCTTCTCGACTGATTAAATATTTCACCAACTCATGACTTGATTTGTCATCTGAAAACTTTATTCCATAAATTCTCTATTACACTAATGTCATACTTATGTTTTCTTTTATAAATAAGTCATATACATGTTTCGGTTTGCGTCCTCTTTAGTATGGTTCCAACCACATTAACTTTTTAAAAAATTATATTTTTACCTGTATACTAGATCAGGAGTGAAGAATTTGTGGCTTCCATATCGTATGCAATTGTGTGGTCTGATGAAATATGAAATGGTAAAAGTTTAATTTTGCTGTCGTGAGATTTGAGTATGAAAAATATATTCCAATAAAGACATTCATCTAAATGTGTAAATTTTTTAGCATAAATACCAAATGTATACACTTAAGCAATACGAAATACAACATGCAACCTTATGAGAGCTCTCTGAAATTTCGAATAAAAATAGTTTACCACTCCTGTATTATATCATCTTATACCAATCTAAAACATTAAAAATTTACTTTCACATAAAATGTGTAGCACATTTCTTCACTTTTAGCATTGCTACACATTATAGTGCATATTTAAAAATTCAGCAACGAGTTGCTTAACTTTTCCGGCAACGTTTAAAATTGCGTGTGGCCCTTACGATATTTTATTTTAAAAAAACTTTTTATATTTTTAATTATTATAAAATGGCAAAAACTTAATTTTGAGGGTATAAAAAATTGTAAATGCTAATAACGAGTAAAATCAGCATTCAGTCCGACACTATTCCAGATATTACAAGACTCCAATTATCTCCCCACTTCGTTGGCCTTTAACCAGCAAAATTTAATAGCATCAATGCCTCTAATACACCAACCTTCCTAAAAAATTTCATAAATTTTCGACAAAAAGCACAAGAGTTATTAAACTTCAAAGTGAGTAAAGAAAATCGTGCTCCACCCCCACACTAACATTCATACATACTGAAGAAAACCCCGAATTTTTTTGCATTTCTCGATGTTTTAAGGTCCTCTGAGTCCAAAAATGTAAAAATCTCGGGAGTCAATTTTTGACCGATCGCTATACTTTCCCTCTGTTACATATAATAGAGCCAAGAAAGTAAAAATACTGTACACTAAGTTTTCTTTGTTTAACTGCGTTAAACTATTTCTTTTACAGTTTAATTTATTAAAATTTTAAATTTATGCCATTCATTGTTTTAATTCGAACGTTAAATATTTAATTTATTTTTAATAATTTTTTCCTATTATAATGTAAATACGAGTTAAAATATAATTACACTTTTTCTAAATAATAATTAAAAAATTTCTTAAATATTTTCGAGCTTATCCTAAATTTTCAAAGCAACGTTTTGAATTTTCTGAATAGTTTAATTAGTTGGAAGGCATTATCTTAACAAGCAAGAATATCAAAACTTTAATAATACTAATCTTAATCCGCAGATTTTTAAGATGTTAATAAGAATCTGATTAAATTATGGGAATATTTACAAAGTTTTATTTATAAAATTTATTTTCAATAACGGAAAAATCAATTTTTTCCACTAAATAGATATGTCTAATTTTATTTTGAAGACGTTTATTCACTTATTTTTTTCACAATTTTTAATAACAAAATTCCAATTAATTTTGGAATATTTTAAATAAAAAAATTTATGAATAACTCTAAAAGTAATTTAACGAATTTAATGTTTTTAAGCCAAGACTTAATGTTTATAACATTTTATTTTAATAATTATATATATATAAACTCTTCTATCTTCTCCCATATTGAAAACAGTGGCGTTGCTCACGTGCACCTTGATCTCCCCTAGTGCTCCACAGTATATGTCGATGCTTTATTATTTTGTATATTTTAAAACCGTTCTTTAAACTCAAATTATATTTTTATTCACGTAACATCGTTTAATTCGCGAAATCAGGACATCATTTACAAGATTAATTATTACGTGACCATTTTTCATACTTTTAGCCCAGGTTTTCAGGTCCATTGAACATCATTTATTCCTTGATATACGCACTTTTAAGGAATATTTTATATTGTTTCTAACGGGAATCTTGTTATAGAATAGTTATCAAAAGTTCGTATTGAATGCTACTATAATTATGATAATTAAAATAAAAATGATATTTTCTATACATGCGCTCCATAAAACAATGAAGAGCAATGTCAAATAATGACAAATAGAAATAAATGAAATTTAATATAATCAATAATTTAATTCTCACTGTAGAATTATTCATTGTATTTGATAATTATTTGAGTAAATTAATTTTTTTCCTACAAGGGTTTCATTAAGATTTTATACAGAATTTTCTATTCGTAACAAGTTTTAGACATGTTGTAATGTGAAGTGAGGTAAATTTTGTTCATCTTTGATTAGTTAAACAGTTTTTATATCAAAAATATCTAATTGATTTAAATATTCTTGAATATATTATTGCATATTATTATTCATTACAAGTTAATAGATATTTTAAAAAGTACAGCAGCAAGTTGCTTAATTTCCCCGGTAACATTTGAAATTGTGTATGGCGCCATTTGTTATGATATTTTATTTAAAAACCTTTATGCCATTTTATAATAATTAAAAATATAAAAAGCTTAATTTTGAGAGTAGGGATGGGTTTTATACAAAAAAATTGTAAATGTTAATAAGAGTAAAATCGTCATTAAGTCCGATCCTACTCGAGATATGATACGAACCCCTTTATCTCCTCACCTCCTTAACCTTTAATCACCAATATTTAAAAATATCAATGCTCTAGTACAGTGGTTCCCAACCTTTTTTCATTAGCGTACCCCGTGACATGTCATATCTCTGGATTGTACCCCGTGACATGTCATATCTCTGGATTGTACCCCGTGACATGTCATATCTCTAGATTGTACCCCTCATTTAAGAAATTTAGTGAGTAACCATATTGTTAATTTTACATATTGTAACTTTAAATTAAAGAGAAAAAATCTAAAAGAAAAAATGTATAATAAAGTTGTGATTGTTGCAAGGAACATTTTTTTATCTAATAATTTTTTAATACTATTAGTTTGTGATACATAATATATTATTTTTTCTGCCATAATAACTAACTTTTTTCTGTACCCCTAAACAACCTATCGTGTACCCCTAGGGGTACGCGTACCACAGGTTGGGAATCGCTGCTCTAGTACATTAATCTCCTTGCAAAATTTTAGAAATTTTCGACATCAAGTTATTAAGTTACAAGAGAGTGACAAAGTAGTGCCACACACATACACACTAACATCCATAATACAGGGAAAAAAATTCCTGAATTTTTTGCTTTTCTCGACGTTTCAAGGTCCCCTGAATTAAAAATTGTAAAATTTTTGAAGGATTGTTTTTTGACCGATCGCCGTACTTTCTCTCTGTTATATATAACAGCCGGGAAAGTAAAAATGCTTTATTCTCTTTATAACGTACAAAATAAGAAATATCGTGTTGACTACAATAGCAAATTTCTAGTTATATTTTGAGAAAATCGAGCCAATTTAAAACAATGTCATGTTTATAATCTTCTTAATCAGTCCTCATAAGTTTGTTGTAAATAAATGTAACTTTAACCTTTCGGTACTAATCTTAAGATTATTCATTCCAGTTTAAATGAAGATTTACTCTTCATACTTATAATACATTTCTTAATATATCTACATATTACAGATGTTTGTAAATATCAGTAATCAGTCACGTAAGAGGAAATGTGAGGAAGAGAAAATGTTTTACATTTATACTACGGAAAATTCCTAATATTTACGCATAAGAAGCATAACTCTAAAGACAGTTTCCATTTAATTAATGATATTTTTCAAAGTACTACAAGTAAAAATAATAAGAGAATAAATTGCTTATCCTATTGGAATTTTAGATTCCAAATGAAGAAAAGTGGATATCTTGATTTTTAACATATTGAAACTCAACAAAACTTAAGCAGTGCTTTATATATTAATAAATTTACAACGTAACAAATGCAGAAGAACCATATCAAAAGTATTTTGTATTTGATTATCAACTTAAGGTTCCTCCTCTTCAGATACTAACATCCATTAACATGGCTCCACTTCATACTTATATAAGTTAATGTAACTGAATGACTGAAAAATATCGACAAGTAAAATTACTATCTTAGTTGTATTTGGATTAAACGAAGTGCAAATGCAATTGACTGACATCAAAGTAAGTAATTT